GTTCAGCCCCTCGCGCAAAATTCCAGTTTGCGAGCGCAAATTACTGCACGCAAAATTGGATCTTGATAAATCCGGCCCTAAGTCTAAGTCTAGTAGAAATGTGACCCAGAAATATCAGCGCTTAAATGTCCATTAGTGAATTTCTAATAACGTCAAAAGGATGTTTTCCGTTATGTAGGATACATGCTCGGTAAAAGGGATTGCTGCTAAAGCAACATAATCAATTGCTACATGCTAAGCCAAGAGGAATGAATCCTGCAAGACAATGACTTAATTCCATCTGTTGGGTTTTTCACCAATTTGAATAATAAAATAAATTGTACAACATTGTTTGAGAACATGGATCAGTCAGAATGAGAGTACATACATTAGAGAATGTATGATTTGATTGAATTGACTGTAACGTGCCTCGGGTATGTTGTGAAAGTGAATTGAGGAGCTTTGGATCTAGATTCAGAAACTGGATCTTCTATTGATCTGTGACCCTCCCTGTTTCAGCTCTTTACGGCGTCCTCTTCCCGAGGGATAAGGAGGCCGCGTTCGCCAACTACCGCATGTGGGAGTCGCTGGGTTTTGTCATCGCCTTCGCCTACAGCACCTTTCTGTGCCTGGAGTACAAGCTATACATAGTGCTGGCTGTTCTGATTGTTAGCATGATAACCTACCCCATAGTGGAGTACAATGAGTACAGGAATCCCACTCAGCCAATTGAACAGATCACCTCTGAGAACCACAAGAAACCTGCAGAAGACGACATCATCATCATCCAAACTGGGATGTAGACATTTTTCCATCCGCTGGAACTGAACCTACATGGTCAGACTCTTTCATCCTGAACTGAAAAACTGGAACAACAGGTGATAAATGCTAAAAATATCTCCAAAGGGGCAGAAAAGAGCAGTAACTATGAAATATAGCCGTTACTTCTTCCGGAACAACAAACCTGAGACTTTTCCTGTTGCTATTTTGTTAAAAAAGTCCCTTTGGAGCCTAGTTGGTCCGTTGGACCATGCACTGCTAAAACTAGATCTGATGTCATGACATAAAAGCACATTAAGTTAAAGACTTATTTTTAATGTCTCATATAGAATGTTTTTGTTGATAGTTTTATGATTTCAGCAATACCTCTACATATTGCTTCACGTTTATTAGATGAAACCTTCACTAAACTTTTACTGAATGTCTGAGTTTGATGCATAAGCTGTTCCATGTTAATGTCTTATCTAGTTTTAAAATATAATTTTTATTTCTCTACTGTAATTTGAATTAAATTCATACTGTGTATGGTAATAATCTGTTTAATATAATATTTATAGTATTTTTATGTAAACATTTTTCTGTACATAGGTAAGTCCATTTGAGCAAATATCAAAGGGCTTTTAAATGATAAATTATGGAGGACCAACTCTGCCATATTTAAAAATAAATACAGAAATTAATAGATGCTCAATAAATAAATAAGCATACAATTAATTGCCCCCAAAATACAATAAACAAATAA